AATGGATGTTTAAGATTAAGGAACCCATTGGTAGAATTGCCAGATGGAGTGTTAGGTTGAGCCAATTTGATTTCACTATTGAGCATAGGAAAGGGAAATTTAATGTTGTACCAGATGCATTATCTAGAAGTCCAGTAGAATCAGCTGTGCAAGAAACAGATATTTGTGTAGTAGAGGAAAATGTGGGCATAAATCTGAACATACATTTAGACAATTTAGATTCATTTTATCAGAATTTACGCAATAACATTTTGAGAAACCCTGAGGACTATCCTCAGTGGTCAGTCAGAAACAACTTTGTTTATAAATTAGTACCTTCAAAATGTCCTGTAAGTACTAATATTTCGGATTGGAAGTTATTAGTTCCAAAATGTCAACGCTCTGAAATCATTAGGTTATGTCATGACATACCTACTGCATCGCATATGGGTTACCATAAAACTTTTTCTAGAATTGCGCTTACTTATTATTGGCCAAAAATGAGGCATGATATTTATCGATACATTAAATCATGTAAAGTTTGTTCAGCACAGAAGTCAACTAATTACGCAAAATTTGGGTTAATGGGTGCAGAAAAAAAAGTTAGGTTCCCTTGGCAAGTAATTGCACTTGACCTTATGGGCCCTTTACCGCGTACTTCTAGCGGCTATCAATATATTTTGGTAGTGAGCGATTGGCTAACCAAATACCCGGTTTTATGTCCTCTTAGAAAAGCTACCTCTGTCAGTATCAACAAGTTTTTAGAAAACGAAATTTTCTTGGTCTATGGTGTTCCACAGCATATTATCTGCGATAATGGTAGGCAGTTGATCAGTAAGCCAATGAAAGAACTTGTTAAGAGCTACGACTCAAATATTTTTTATACTCCCTACTATCATCCACAAGCTAACTATGTTGAGAGAACAAATAGAACCATCTGCACGGCTATTCGCAGCTACATTAATAAGAATCATAAATTATGGGACAAAGAATTGTCAAAAATAGGGTATGCTTTGAGAACTAGTGTTCATGAAGTTACAGGGTATAGTCCAGCCTTTTTAAATTTTGGAAGGGAAGTACCAGGTAGTGGTCAATATTATGGGAAGGGTAATGTGGATATAAACTTAGTTAATCGCGATTATTGGATTCAGAATTTAGGAAAAATTTCGGAAATTTATGAGGATGTTCAGAATAAAATTCATGCTGCACATCAGAAAAATGCTAAATATTATAACTTACGTAGACGTGATATGGAATTTTTTGTTGGTGATAAAGTTTGGAGAAAGAACTATGTTCTGTCTAATGCAAGCAATAATTTTGCGCAGAAATTAGCACCGCGTTTTGTACTTTGCACAGTTGCAAAGAAAAAATCAAAGTTAGTGTATGTCCTAAAAAATGAAGATGGCTCTAATGCCGGAGTTTGGCATATTCAAGACTTAAAACCCTACCATGGATCGATGTCCGACCTTTCTGCTGAAGAAGGAGCGGGATCTGAAGCATCAGACGAGTAGTTTGAGTCAGTCAATCAGTACAGCTTTATGCATATTTGAAGTGTAATATTTGTATATAGAGGATAGTTAGTAGTCAGTAAGGCTAGTAGTAGGTTAGTAACAGCTAAGAATTAACTTTAAGGTAGTATAGGGCGCGCCTAGCTTAAGTGAAAGAAAAGTTTGAATTCACTTCTTAAACGGTTTTGGTAAAACTCATTTCTTATTATTGGAGTAATTTCCATCGAAAAATGTTACTTCCTAAAATTTTTCTTTATTTTTGTGGGGGGGTGAATGTAACATGAAAATTATCCTTTCTTCTCAAATTTTCAGTTCCTTGGTGAAGTTCATTGATTGTCAAGTGTTTTGAGGATGTTTCTCAATGTCTACCACTGAACAAGCACTCACACTGTGTGTAATGTTTTTATTCAAATTTCAAGTACATGACACTAAAGTATTTGATGTATTCTACCTTGAATGGTCCAGAGTGTAGAGTGGTCCTTTATCTAAAAATATCAAAACATATTAGTATACAACAATAATAAGTACACAACATTAATGATAAGGTTGTAAGTTACTCACCAATACTATTAGCTGATTCTTGGAAAGATGTCTTGATGTCTTTTTGATTTGCTTCCACCTAGAAATAAATGAGTATGATGGTAAACTTGAAACAAATTTCAAATGGTAATTATTTTGGTTAGAAAAGCACTCTTACAGTTGAAAGGCAATTTCGCTTACCTTGAATTATGGTCTTATGTATTTCAAGAATATTGTTAAGTATTGACATTTTATATTGATGATGTTGTGTCGATACTATTTATTTGTAGTGTTTTGACATTTGAGAGTAATGACTGGGTTATGTCATGTCATGTCACTCACCTGTACTCGTGCATACGAGCAACCCTAATAGCACAACTATGTACAATGGACGTCCAGAGGACGTCCTGCTCGGACATTCGGGACGTCCATAGGACGGTCAAATTTGGTACCGCGGACGTCCTTAGGACGTCTGTGGGACGCACAAATGTCCCACTTGAGGACCTGATAGGGACGTCCCTCCGGAACGTCCATAGGACGTCATCCTTGGACAAGAATTCTGAAGCATCAATTTTCGAGCACCCAGGATGTTCATTGAATGGCCAATGTACTTCCTCAGAAGGATTCTTCGGACGTTCAATAAATGGCCTGATGGACGTCCATCGGACGTACCGGCAGATGTCCGATGGACGTCTATCGGACGTACCGGAAGATGTCCGATGGACGTCCATCGGACGACCCGGCGGATGTCCTTCTAAGGTCATAACAGGCATCCTTCGAACGTCCAGTCTATCGGACGTCCAATGGACATCCATTTAATGTCATATCGAATGTCCATCGAATGCCCCGAAAGACGTCCATCAAATGTCCTGAAGGACGTTCATCGAATGCCCTGATGGACGTCCATCGATTGTCCCGATTGACGTCTATCGGACGTCCAGTGGACATCCATTTAATGTCATTTCAATAGACGTTTATACAGGGTGAGTCAATAGTGTGTTCTCCTTCGATATTAGCCAAACCGTCAATCACCTAGAATTATTTTCATATCTATACATGGTGTTCGGATTCCAAAATACATGTTCAATATCGGCTGATGATGGGATTTTTTGAAAGGGACACTCTGTATATTATTGCATTTCTAGGTTCATCCTGAAGAGCTGATTTCAATGATGTATCACACTTGGGGTCTAGCGGGAATGATTACAGAGATATAGGATGTTCAAAATCGAGATTTTTCACATTTTTGTGTTAAAACTATTCATTATTGGTCAAAACGGCTTACATGTCCCTATCTGAACTTATGATTTACTTTCTACTGACATTCGATTGGAACAAATACTGGGTGGTTCAAGATTCAAGAATTCTGATCACCCTGTATCTGTTTCAATTAAATGTCAGTAGATAGTGAATCAAAAGTTCGGGACAAACCGTTTTGACCAATAATGAATAGATTCGACACAAAAAATCCTAAATTTAAAAAATCTCGATTTTGAACACCCTATATTTCTGTATAATTATTCCCGCAAGAGTGATGCATTGTTGAAATCAGCTCTTCAGGGAGAATCTAAAAATGCAATAATATACTGGGTGTCCTATTGAAAAAAAAACATCAGCCGATATCTTGGAATCAGAACACCCTATAGATATGACAATAATTTTAGGTGCTAGTTCTCATGGAACCCTATAACTGTTGTATTCGAGTTTTTTCTAAAATATCTGACGGTTTGGCTAATATCGAAGGAGAACACACTATAGACTCACCTCACCCTGTACAGTGTGTACATATATTATCGGAAGTCCCGAAGGCTGCCCATCAAACGCGTCATTTCCTATATTGTAACTTGGTTATTTCTCAAGAGATTCTAGATAAATTATGAATCATTAGAAATAATATGAAGATTTTATTGGAAACAGACAAATATATTGAAGAAGTTATTTTCCAAACTCGTTTCCAATTATATATAGAACACTCTGTATATCAGTTGACTATATAGCTATATATTTCAAAGGATTGAAATATTCGAATATTTTTCGCATGTGCTTTTTGACAAATAGTTTCATGCCCAATAATTTTAAAATGAAAACTCCTCACCTTTTTATCAACATCATTATATATTATACACGTTCAACCATTTTCCAAGCTTAATTACGATTGAATATATTTCAATAGTTAAATCGATAAAATTCATGTCTTATGATACATAATGAAATATATTAATATTCCGAATGATAATTTGCATTTTTATCATTCGATATATACAGGAGGCCAGGTAGCCGTGCGGACAGTGTCAATATTCTAATCCGCATTCGCTTGCTGGTCGTGGGTTCGATTCCCATAGACTGCAGAAATTTTTCTGATGGCCCACGAAAGTGTTTGAGATCACACGTTAAAAGTTAAGACCCCCGTCATTCCTTGCTCGCACAAGAATCTCGAAGACTTCTGACGGTTGCTCGTGAAGGGGCAACCAAATGACTGATAGAACAAGTTAGAATTTTAGACTGACTGACAAAAAACGCCCCAAGCCATAGCGTCGCAATTTACTATCCGATTTTGAAAAACAAAGAAGCAAAGGAAATCACTCATCAGCTACTATGAGTAGTCGCGCTGATTATTTTTTTTGGATATCAATTAACTGATGTATCATCAGCGATTGTCAACTTTTTTTCTCAAATTCTGAATACAATGGTGTATGACAAGTTGACTTTTGGACAAACTCAATTGAAATAAAAAATAAATGATCAGTTGACAATAGATATTTTCATAAAATTATATATATATATATTTCTCATTATTATTTATATCTTATATCCATACCCATATGAAGAGAAATATAGAGTTGATATAATATTCTGAACAACACGGCGTTATTGACTAAAATAAATGCTAAAATACTAGAATCTAATAGGAGAATTCCATACTAAACCTTACTCACAGTGGTAGCTAACCCTCCACTACCCCTTGGGTGAGCGCCTGAATAACTTCTTTGACTTCCACACTACCAATAATGTCAATTGCATTAAAATGAATGTGGATACTTTTTAGGACAAAACTCCTCAAAGGAATGTCATTGTTGCTGTTAAAATTATAAAATTTATTCTGAAAAAATCAACAGAAAATATAACTCAAAAATAAATTATTCTCACATAAAGAAATAAAACTTAAACACTAGAGGAAATATATATCACTTAGACAGTTTCTTCTCCTCAGCCATTGCCCTTTCATTTGCCCGCCTGAGAACTTTTTTGATGCCATCTTCCAATTCTTTAATGGTGAAAGACGAGGTCTTTCCATTCTGTTGGGCTGACCCTGCAAAATGATATTTTTTATACCTACACTTGGACGCAAACCAGAAAATGGCAATATTCTTATTACAATCTATCAGGTAGTTATTTTTTAATTAATATTCGACTGAAATTTAAAATAAGTTACTTACTTATAAGGAGGTGGGAAATGTGCATCTTTGAAAATATCTTTTTCTTCTTCAGCCCGACCCAGCTGTATTCCGCTGCCAATTTGGGGGTCATCAATTTCGTCATCGCCCTCTTCATAAAATCATTGGGGTTATCGCCCCCTACTTTGGATAATTCGGTGATCTGCAATTCAAAAATGAACTCTGTACTCTCCAACTTTATGAGGAAACCACGACTGATTATTTTGTAATGTAATGTATCGCAAGTCAGACCACGCCGATCCTACTGTCATACCAGGAGACGAGATGTTCTATTCAGATTGGTGGTTGCCGTGACGACGTGGTCTTACCGGCTCGAGAGGCAGAAGCAGAGCACTATGACAGTATCATTTACGTCGTGGAATTGTCAGGGAAAATATCATGAGTGCTCGCAATACTATCGATAGTGATTCTGTCAAAAATCAACGAGATCCAATTGCTTGGTTACACCATGAGTCCGCACAGAAATTATTAATCAAAAATGTAAATACCAATATAGACAAATAAACACAATATGGACAATTTAAACAGAAATTATTAATTAAAAATGTAAATAACAATTAATACAAATAAACACATACAAAAAAAGAAGAATATAAATCACAATATCAACTAAATTGAATCTTTATTCCCAGTAGTGAGTCTGAATAAAAACAATTTTCAATGAAAACATCCCTCAAAGTTCTTCCAAATTTATTCAGAGACATGCTATTGTCTTTTAGCTCCAATGGTGAACAGTTGAGTATTTGTAGGATTTATATAAATAAGATGACTGAGTGCGATGCAGTCTAAATGTTGGCAATCTAAGCAATGACCGAGATCTTGTGAGATGATCCTGAGTATCTCAACTAAGTTCAACAGTTGTTCCTGCTATTGTCAGCTTTTTGACATGACATAAGCACTCTAGCATGAAACAACACAGAAAAGTTCTAACTCGGAATTGTTGAAACAGGGGTTTAGCTTGAGCCTCCCATTTAGCCTTACCCATAACATGTATCATGCAATTGGATCTAAATGATTTCTGGCAGAATTACTATCGATAATATTGCGAGCACTTGTGGTATTACCCCCCAATATTCTGATCATCATTGATTTCAAGAAAACAACCTTTCTGATTCAAATGAAAATGAACATCCTGTCAAGATGACAAGATGTGACATGACATTCCAAAACATTCTGCTCAGCGTAGAGCCAGTCAAATAGAAGGTGAGATACAGTGTACTTGACATCTAAATATACAGGGTGTCCTATAAGACATGGATCAAAATAAGTGGGATGGTAGGGGGGGTCATTTGTTATCATACTAATGGTATACATGGTTATCAAATTGTTGATTGTCAAAAATTGAATGTTTCTGAAAAACGCGACCTATTTGAAAAAAATCAATAACAAAAAGTCTGTTTTGAATGACCCCATATCTTATACCATTTCAGAATCTGTATTAAATGGGCAACTTTTTCTTATAATTGGTTATCTTTGTGAGTTAGTAAATCAACTTGAATATTTCATTCAATGACAAAATTTGAGAAATAAAAAACATTTTTTTAAATTAATTGATAAGAAGTAACACATGGCATAAAATTATATCTGGTGACAGGTGCATCCATGTGGAAGAGTGGAAGAGCGACGAGTTTTATTGAAATTTTTTTTTATATAGAAATTGAAAAAAAAATCAATAACTCTTGAACCATCAACAATTGGATAACCATATATATGGTTAGTTTGATTAGAAATGACCCCCCCCCTCCATCCATCCCACTTCTTCTGATCCATGACTTATGGGACACCATGTATTAGTAGTTATGAATAAGTGTCTGCCAGTTTCATTTCAAACCCTATTTCCAATGCCTCAAGGACAGGCATATAATCTTAGCTTACCGATTTCTTCATGTTTTCCTCATCACTCAGGAATTCTTCAAAAGAAGTCAAGACTTCTATGGTAGACAACGGAAATTCAAATTCCGCCCATATATTTTGGATCTCTAATATGGTAGAAACGGGGGATCTATCGATGATCTTTTTTAGATCACACATGTCCATTTCGAGAATTGTCAATTTCCGAATTATCTGTTTGAAATAACCTGTGAAATTGGAAATATTATTGATAATGACAAAAAATCTTGAATATTGTGTTACCACTATTATTGGCAGCTTCATGCTTGTGGATCACACAGCAGGTACATTTATCAATTCCAACATTGGTTGTAATATCAGATGATAATTCTCGAGATAATTCTTCTGCCAATGTGTTTGTAGAGCTGAAAACATTGTAATTTTTACAAAGTACTAACAATGGTGCACTGTTAGGAAATTGTAAGCAGTTGGATAGATAACATGACGAACAATTTTAAAGAGAAAAAGGGTAACTGCATATTTCTAGGCTCAAAATAAAACACATTTACAATAAATAACTATTCCACTACTAACCAGAGGAATCACCATTATTCGAACGTTTCCTCTAAGGAGAAGTAAACTTTTTCAACCTAGGTGTATAATAAGAAAAAAAATTACCTAAGGTAAATAATGAGAAATGATCTATACTCTCAATAATGCAACCAGCAGACTGTATCACCAATAACATGATTTCAAGTCAATAACTGAATAAATAACCTATGGATTCACTTCAGATGAATGAAAATATTAGAGTTGAATATAAATGAAATATGTTGATATATCAGCTTTAGTAGTAAGAGAAATCACACCTCAGGATATAAGTGTTTACTATTTATGATATATAGCTCACTGCTCACCCTGGGTGTATATTTTATTATTTCAAATATATCTCAGAATGACAATAATAAATGCAATATTTCAATTATTATATAGTATTTCTTGAATTTTGGTTATTAAAAAACATATTCAGCTCGCTCCTTCATTACCAAGTAGAAATAAGTTTCCTAGCAATGAAAAATTGTACTCACCCATGGTTGTTTGGTGATTCATGCTCTGTTGTACCTGAAATAACATAAAGTATTTTATATTGTATATAGATACGGTCTCATAAAAAACGCCGCAAACTATGATGAGGCCAAAATATATTTCAATAGGAATAGAAGCAAAAAATTATCTTTTTATCTCAAATGGAATATGATTTTTTTTCTACTTAGGTTCCATTTTTTTGCTTGCTATTTTCCGAAAACAGATTAAACATGGTGGAGATACTCTTGCTGTGTTTTAGATAAGACAGCCTGTTTATAACAGGGGCTTGTATTTCTAGCTTAAGCTTGGGGATCTTGGATATCTCAAAAGATAGGATGTTGTATTTTTGTGCTGATCAATGATCTGGGAATAAATTCAACCAATTATTGTTGGTTTTCAAAAGATAGCCAAAAAACTGAAATTTCCAATATGAATGAAGTTAGATTTGTTCTATCACTTGAGGAAAAATACAATCAACAGTCAACTTTTTTTCTTCATGGATGCCAAGTTGGATTTCAATATTCTTGAATAGTTTTTTTTTCTGATTATGATTCACCTATCACACTTGATGGATCAGATCAACATTCTATACATAATTTGAAAAGGTGTGCTTTGGAAATATGAACATCATTATTTCTATGAAGTGACATTTCAGTTCAATTGTCAATTTCTGTTTTCAGACTAGCATTGTGCAACTTTGCCCTAAATCAAATGCTTGATATCCTCATGCTACAGTTCGAAAGATGGGCACTGCATATATCTTGAATATTTGATATGATGTCAACTATATAAAACACTCCAGTTACTTTGAACATATAAAATTGTATAATTTTGTATTACTTTGATTAAGTATTTATCATAAAATATAGATCAAAAGTTCTACTGAATGCAAATTGCATGTTTATAACATCTGATATAATCTAAATAACCCACATACCTGATGATTGTATCTGAATCTGTGGAAATTCATGATTTATGATGCCTAGATCACTGATGCTGTCAGCAGATGAATCATCAGACACTTCATCAGAATCTGCAGAAAAAATTTTTGGTTTTTTCAAAACTCTCTTTGTTTTTTCATTTTCTGAATTGAGATCTGATGTCTCTTCTGCCTTCATGGATTTTTTCCTGGCAGTAGCATAATTATCTGAAAGTAAATTTTCATCATTGTGCCTGAGGAATATTGGATTTACATACTATATGTGGCATTCCTGAATGGAATGATCTCATGTTGATTCCAACATGATAATGGGGGCTCACAAGTTCGAATCGCCTTCATTAAACGATCCCTTGTGTAACTAGGCCAGGAACATTTGCCATCTGAAAGCCATTTGCTTGGCACAGCCTCCACAGAATTGTCTGTGATGAATTTCACCACCGTCCATGTTGCTGCCATTGAGGAAGGACAATATTCAAAGAAACCTAGAATATTTTTATCAAAGTGCAGCATCAAAATCCAACAGATATAATATATTCTATAAATTACAGTGGACTTGTAATCCGACTGTGAGTTTAACCTACCCAATAATTATACTAATATCTAAGCTGATACTATTTATTTGCATTGCCATTGAAAGAGAATCTATATAATAATATATATTATAGTCAGAACATAGATCAATATTCACAGTAGTTAAGGTCATCCTCTGACATTGCAATGACATGAAAACAGAGAAAACATTCATAACTCTTGATTATATTGAAAGTTGGACATGTTTTCCCCTAATTTCTCATGCAATGTCAACATCATATGATGACCTTGACTACCGCGAATATGAGGTGTTCCACTTGGGACTATCCACCGATACCTGAAGGTAATACAACTTATTCACAATGCCATTGAAAGATAATCTCCATATTTTAATCAGAACATAGATCAATATATGAGGTGTTCCACTTGAGACTAATCACCCTGAATGAATTACTCTCAAAATAATTATTTTTAGGAAAAACAAGAAACAGTGGTGAACATTTTGTTAAGATGACACTTGTGAATGTAACAGTCTCTCCTGCAGCCCATTAATATCATAAACAATACCAGGTTTGATGAGGTGCTTAATATCCAAATACTATAAGATATAACCTAGTTATTCATTTTCCCATATGCTTCTTTTGTGTGACAAAGAAATTGGATTTTCAACATGAGAAGTTTTCATATCAAAATAATATTATCATGAATAAAGAGATAGCAATTTTTGTTTTTTCTGAACATTATTTTTTTGAAAGTCAGGGTGGAAAATCTCAAATTGGCCACATGGTACAAATAATAATATATACATAACACGTACTAAAATCAGTTAGTATCTTGTGATGTCAAGGGTTCATACACAAAAATGTTGTTAGTCTCAGGAAGTGACTGGAGCTACAAGTCTGAAACATTTTTTATATAGAGGGTGATCCATTTGCAAGTAGTAGTAGAAGTTTTCAAAAAGCACACCCTATACTTTTGCAATTTTTGATATACTCTATTCAATTAAAAATTGAAAAGTGAAAACTGTTTGTTGCTGAGATTATCCTACTCTTCAAGAATTATTTTTTTATTTGAATCAAGTAACTGGCATAGTTTGACATAATAATTTTGGTATTCATGTTTCAGTTATCACTGTTCAATTTGTTATCAAATTAAATACCCAAAACCTAGGTTGGTAGAATTTATTATTATTTGTAGAGAAAGGATGCCTTGATCAACAAAATGCAGTGAGGGGAAATGGTAATTCATGATGTAATCCCATTGAACATTTCATATCAGAGTCATGGAAATTTATATTTTACAACTGTCTTCAAGTATATTTAGGTATCCAGCTGTGATCTAGAATTATATACAGACATTTCAATGATTCCAACATGAAGTTTTGGATGCCATTACATCACAAATTACAACCTCCCCTCACTGCGTTTTCTGATCCAGGCAACCTTACTCTACAAATAATCATCAATTTAACCAACCTTGCCCAAAACTAGAAAAATATAGGCTGTGCCAAGGGGTGTACCATTTGAAAAAAGGGAACATGAGCTCACTGCTTGAAAATGGATCACCCTGTACACATAACAATGTTTCAGATATTTATAGCTTGAGTTACTTCCAGAGACTAATCAAAAAGTTCCATCCAAAGATATTCATCTTTGTATATGTTACTTTTTTACTGAATTAAAGTAAAAAAAAAATAGTATTAAACTTGCAGAATGAGGTTGGGCTGCTTTGTTTTATAAGTTTAATTCAGGATCTCAATCTAAATGCAGTAAAGGGAATATTGTGAATTTATCTCCATAATCCAATTTAACACATTTATGGGAAACATCTTGTACAGAAAACATTTCAATAGGACCTGGGTTACTCACAACATGTATACTGAGATCTGAAGATTTACATGGGTTTTTGAAAAAATCTTCTTTTTTGAGATATTCATAACCAATTATTACAGGTTGATCATCTTTGGATGCAAAATTTAATATTGTTATTATCTTTCCATTATTCAATCTGCAACAGTTGTTAGGTTCAGAAATTTTCAAGGTGAAACCATTGAATTTATATTCTAAATATTGTGGAAAATTAGTCCCAGGAAGGAGGGGACCTAGATCATGTTGTTTCTTGACTTGAAAATGTTGGATATTATCTGAGTTTTCTGGGATTTCAGAGTGTTCTATTTCATGCAACCTTTTCACTATTTGGGATAAGGGTTGATCACCTTTTCGAACAAGCCTTTTCAACTGTTGCAGTTTATTTTCAAAAGGGAATGCACTAAAGTTGTCCAATGCTCCCATCAGTTCAACATCATCAGCTATGTGAAGCATATTATGTACATTGTGAGATACATTTTGAGGTCCATATAAACTTTTGAAACTATCCACAAAATACTTTAACATAGCATTAGCATTATCCTTGTTGAAAATAAATTTGGAATTTGTTAAAATGACAGTTCCCACAAACAATGACATGAAGTTTTTATAATTATCTGGTGGTAAAACTGATTTCAAAATCACAGGGCCAGTGTAAAACAAAAACTGTCGTAATTCTGTTGCTTTCCAACGTTTCACTTCAGACAGTGACCTAGGTTTTCTTGAAAATTCACTAGGCACGTTTTTCCTTTGTGTTTCCAGGAATTGTGAAATTCTTGATAGATCCCTTCGAGATAGTTTACTACCAGATTTTGTATCAAAACACCACAGATATAGTAATTTTCTAACAGTGCCCAAACAAATCAGATGCATATAGTCCAACACAACACCAGATATCATATCAAAATTGGGTAGCTTTTCTAAGAAAGATGTACCAACATGATGCCTTTCATCTTCTTTTTGTCGAAATCCTGCATCAGTTCTTTTTGGCAAATTGTTTGTATCTGGGAAACAAATTCTATTCTCAAGATATTGTCCTTTGATATGACATTTAGAACAGCTATGATAACCCATATGGCCAGTGGTGTAAGTGATGAAACTTTTGGCAGGTACATCACAAATAAATGCTTTTACTTTGAAAGGATACAATTGATCATTATATAGAACACCACTATTAATTAAACTGATTGCTTCATCTATGAAGTCATTCAAGAATTCATTGGCATCTTTTGGCTTCTCAAAACCATGATATATGCCAACAACTTCTACTGCTTTTGGGTTCAAATATAAATTACAAAGTATTGGATATATCTGGCTGCCAGAACTTTTTGCCAATGGTAGGCCATCAATGTTGACACATATTTCTACCACATTGAACATTTTACTACCAGTTTTATGTAATAATTTCAAGACAGATTTTTCTAAACCAAAATGATAATATTTTCCAGGGGCTATATCTTTGAACAAAATTTGTCTGGGGCAATGCAACAGAGTGCGAGCATCAGCTGGAATTTCTTCCAATGCTGGCACTGTTTTAAGAATACCTAACAAACTGGTTAAAGCATTGTGGGGGATTTTATGAGAAATTGCCCAATTTGATAATTGATCTTGAAAGTTATGATTTGATATACTTCTGCTCTCTCCTAAAACTTTTAGATCATTTGAATCAGCAATTCTGCAGTTCTCTGATTCAACAACAAACTCAATATTATCATCAATAATTGTTGATACAACTCTCTCAGGACTGCTACATTGATAGGTTTGATTATTATTCGTACCTGATGTACTAGCAACATTCAATATAGATGTATCAGAGTTCTCTAATTCCATAGGGGTTAGGTGTCTCACTCGGTGTCTCACTATTTCAACATCAGAATCAGATGAGAGAAATAGTTCAGATTGATCTGATACCTTCTCTATATTCAGGGCCTCAGAATACCATTCGACTCTCGATTGTAATATTCTATTTCTATGGCGTTTTGATATACCCTTTGTTGTTTTTGTTTTCTTATTCATATTATTCTGATTGAAAACTGAATTAAATATAAAATTATATATGAAACACTCTTACCTGCTAATTAGAACTTCAGTGCTTGAACCAAATGCAGTTTCAACGCTATATATGATTGGATTGTAAACCTCGTTGAACACACTGGCACTGGTAAAATATAATTCACAGAGGAAACAGAACTAGGTATATACCTAGGAAAACAATCCCGTGAATCCAAGATACCACAGATCAAGATACACAATAATACAATCAAACACAATCGTGCACAGATAATTATTGATAACAATCATGTACAAGAACAAGAAATAACGGACCACGGAGGCTCGAAAAGAAACAAAGGAAGCCAAGCCAAGCCAAGCGCATCTTAGTTGCAGCTTTCGCCCGCCAGGCGCCAACGTATTAACATTAAGCGACTCACGTAAGACTTGTTCGTTTGTATTGCTAAACTTGCTAAAACCTAATACTGATTTTTTCCCTGTAGTTGTCTCTTTTCATGGCATGATGTAAACAGAGAAAGTCATCGAAAAAACAAGTTCTGCAGGTAGAACAAGCACAAACGAACAGGCCTGTAGTCAATACTCAATATTACTCAATACTACCCTAGACGTGACGTTTAGAGACAGGACGCAGAGACGGCACAACAAAACAAATAAACAAATAATCCTTACATTTCCAGGCGATACCTTTTCTCACAGTCGATCCTTAAGAAAAACATCATTGAAATAGCGAATCACTATATATATCATCCCCAACAGTAAATAATGCCCTACAGTATTTTTTTTATTAATCATTTCGAAAAAAAAAAGGAAAAAAATGTTGGATCATTTGTTGGATTGCATCCTGATAGCACGGTAGCACGTTTCAGGTAGTATTGAATTCGTGCGCATTAGCGTTGATATCCACCTTTGTTGCGACGTTTCATGAAATGTACCATACCCTGAGGACATATGGACAATATTTACAATACATTTGAAGATACCTATATGTTCCTCCGAAGAAATCCAAAGGATTTCAATGGGGGACATTTTGAATTATGTCCGATACAGGACATGCAAGGGACGTCCTTTCAGGTACATTATATTTGATGTACCTCTATGGACGTCCAATGGACATTGTTTTTAGGATGTTTGGAAACATGTACTGTTTGGGACTTCCTATGGACGTCCTAGCAGGGACATCACGAAATATGTACAGGTTGGGACGTCCAAAGGACAACGATGTCAGGTTATTTGAGGGACATTTGAAATAAGTCCCTCCTAGGACATCCAGGGGATGTCCCCGAGGGATATTTTGAATTATGTCCGATCCAAGACTTGCTAAGGACGTCCGTTCAGGTACATTCTATTTGATGTACCTCTAGGGACGTCCAATGGACATTGTTTCTAGGATATTTGGGGACATGTACTGTCTGGGACTTCCCATTGACGTCCTAGCATGGACATCATGAAAAATGTACAGGTTGGGACGTCCAAAGGACAACGATTTGAGGTCCGGGACATTCGGACATGAATTGTACCAAAAAGGGACGTCCCTTGGACGTTGTGTGCTATTAGGGAATGACATACGAGTCGTGGTATCAAGTAATGCAAAAAGTATGCGGGCTGCGAACAAGCTGCGAACTCACTGGTGTAGGTTGTTCCATTGGTTCTGTTGGAGTACGATGACGTAGTATCGTGAACTGAGGCTACGTACTAGCTATGTTCCGATTCGTTCCATGGTCATATGATTGGTGTTTTGTGGGGTTTCGGGCCTCGGAATCGATCGGTTAGTCTCGTATAGGTTGCCGCAGTACCGCCGGAGCCGACCAATCATAGATGAGGAAGATCATCACGTGAGCAACGTTTCCTGTTAATTTCGATACTTCAAGTTGCGCAGATGATTTTATAGTTTTTTTATTGTTAGAATTTTGTTGGGAAAATTCTAGAAGGCGCAGGAGTTAGCCCTTCCTAAATTGGTGGTGTCGTTCCTTCACTTCCTTTGGCACCATCATGGTTCGCTACACGATGCAGACCCAGCACTTTGATTCGGTAAACTTTAGTGGTAGTGAGGCCTGTCCTGATTCTAGGGGTAAGTGTCAAACCTGATAGGGATAAAATCCTAGGGTGTATTTTTATTCGAGTGGCTATAAATATGGTATATTGCCGCAGATTTGTGGGCCTTACCGGATACCCTACCAGTCACCTCGTGGGGCATTTTGTCCGACGCCTCGACTTCGGTTGTGGCTGACGTCTCCTTTGGACTAGTCAAGTTTGATCATGTCTACCTCTGCGATCTTACTCGAATTGACCGGCTGATACTTTGGTATCAACCTGCTGGGAGTACCACTAGGCCTACTCCGGAATCTTCGCCGCAGTCTGTGCAGCAGTCTCCGCAGCAGTCTCCACTGCAGTCTTTGCAGCAGTCTCCGCAGTCTCAACAGCAGTATCCACAGTCTCCGCAGCAGTCTCCACTGCAGTCTGTGCAGCAGTCTCCGCAGCAGTCTCCACTGCAGTCTTCGCAGGAGTCTCCGCAGTCTCCACTGCAGTCTCCACTGCAGTCTTCGCAGTATCCACTGCAGTCTTCGCAACCGTCTCTGCTGCAGTCTCTGCAGTCTCCTCTGCAGGCCTTGACAGAGCACCTGCAGGTTGGAGTTGGACCCCATTGTGGCTGAGGTGCACCAGCCGGTTCACATCCTGGTTCCACAGTCATGGTAGAATTGAACACATGAGAGTAAGAGCTAAAATGCCCAGTTTTTTGTTTTGTCTTCCTATTAAATTACCATTTGCCAGCCTCTGATTATGATTATCAGCTTAAGTCATACTTAAATATACCATTCAATTACAAGTTGACATTTAACATTTCTTCACATTTATCATACATATTTTGACACAAATTGTTCGCCCTGTTATAGATCTATGAAAGGGAATTCACGCATAATTCATATCAGTGATTGTGAATCTGATTTTGATAATGTTTTTTATCCTGGAAAACTTAAGTGTAGTGATTACTCCATGTATAAATGTTAACCTGGGTTTTACTATTAACATATAATTAAACCACCATTGAGTTCACACAGTGTTTCAATTATTTTCTCTTTCAGGGAAGTAGTTGAGGTTGATAATATCTATTATATTTTCTTGGTTTTTTATTCTGTTACAAACTAAGTGGCGCCCCCCAGTATTTCAACAAAGTCTCGAACTCATGATCATAGCTCACCAGATGAAAAGCTGCTGTGCCTTGATAACTATTTTTGCAATATTTGATTTTTTTTTTCCATCTCTAAAAAAAAATTGTCTAAAGTAGGTTACAATTTCCTTGTAAGAAAATTCTTGGTTCATTGTTATGCGAAGCTGCGAATTTCAATAGTTCGAGTTGTAATACCTATGTTTCATATATTCATCAGAAATTATCAAAGCTGAAAAATTTGCGTGCCAATTGGTGTGTCAAAGATTTGATCGAATTGATTATTTTTGGAATATCGGAACACAAAGTTCGTGAATCTTTGATAATGCATGATTTCAATACAATAGCAGATCTTATAACTTATGTGAGTACAATTGAAAAGCCTGTAATTCCGGAGACGTATCATCAACAGCGACCTAGTTCGTTTGACAGTTCAGAACAACCTCTGACCAAGCGACCTCGCATTGAGCATGGTGATAACGCGCTTAGTAACGCGAGAGGTGTTTCAAGCAAACCAAGTAATTCACGAGTTTGTTTCCGTTGCGGTAAGACTGGGCATGTTAAAAATGGTTGCCGCGTTGCTAAGAATTTCAACAATCATAAATTCGATGTTCGTTTACGTAATTCACTACCTAGTACCCACACGTCAAATCAGCCTAGTACATCTACTTCAGCCGATTCTCATACTATCAAGGTCGAACATAAAAATGAACTATGCCAATTTTGCTTCAAGAAAGGTCATTCTGTTGAATCGTGTTATGTCAAACGTAATATTGAGGAACGAAAAAATGTTAATGTTGTCACAACTAACAAAACTGTTGTACCAATGAAAATCAAAATTGATTCAAACTTGTATATGGGCATTGTAGATACCGGCGCTGATGTTCCACTTATTTCAGATAAATTCCTTTCACATTTTTCAAACAAGCTCGAGGAACATCAAACCGTGTTATGTGGTATTATACCTGGTGAGTTGAAGTCCAAGTATAAATTCAGAGCCAATGTTGAGATCACCGGGCAAAGTACTACTTTAACTTTCATGTCAATTCCTTCTGAGTGCATTGAATACGATGTAATTATTGGTTGCGATTTATTTCAAAACAGTCAGCTAGCTGCAGTTACAGATAGTGAAGGTACTCGAGTTGTTTGCCGTCAACTGCCTGGTATATTACGTGTCACACAAAATGAGTGCATGGGCAAGTATAATGTGCCTGATGAATACTCAAGTAAGTTAATAACTTTACTCAGTAATTACTCTGATATGATCGCCATGGGAACGAATGTTTCACTTGTTAATAATGCTTCTCTTGATATCAATTTGATTGACAATTTCATTGTCTCCCGCCGTCCCTACAGACTTGCTGCGCATGAGAGAAATGAAGTAAAAGATATTGTAAAAGATTTATTGAGTAACCAAATCATTCGTGAAAGCAGTTCCCCATATTCAAGTCCTGTCCTTATAGACAAGAAGAAGAATGGTTCATATAGGATGGTAGTAGATTTTCGAGAATTAAATGCTCATACGATAAAAGATCGATATCCTCTACCGAGGATAGATGATCAGTTGGATCAATTAGGACGAGGACATTTTTTCACGTCGTTGGACATGAACTCGGGTTTCCATCAAATACCCATCAGTGCTGATTCAATAGAAAAGACAGGGTTTGTCACGCCAGATGGGCATTACGAATATATTCGTATGCCATTTGGTTTGGCTTATGCCCCTGCAGTTTTTCAACGCTCCATCAATAAGGCACTGGGAACTCTTAAAGATTCTGTGGCTTTGGTTTATCTTGATGATATCCTTATACCTTCCCTAACTATTGAAGAAGGATTGAATTCTCTTGAGCTAGTACTACAGGCACTCAAAAAAGCTGGTTTCTCGCTAAATATTGCAAAATGTTTTTTTTTGCAATCTAAGATTGAATACTTAGGTCAAGAGATATCTTCTGAAGGTATTCGTACTGGCACGCGTAAAGTTGAGGCCCTTCGAAATGTTGAATCACCAAAAAATATTAAACAAGTTCGCCAATTGATGGGACTTGCAAGCTACTTTCGAAAGTACATTCCTGAATTTGCGACTAGGACCGCTTGCATAACGGCACTTACAAAAAAGAATATTCCTTTCATTTGGGGAATCGATCATGAAAGAACTAAACAATACTTGATTGATTGTCTAACGTCCGCACCACTATTGGTTGTTTTCAATCCAAACCTTCCAACCGAATTGCATACAGATGCCAGCTCTCTTGGCTATGGGGCAATATTAATGCAGAAATATGATGGTCAAAATAGAGTCGTGGCATATTATAGTAAACGTACTACGCCGGCCGAATCAAAATATCA